CAGGGACACAGCCTCAGGGGCTTCATCCTGCCTCAGGGGCTGGGCAGCCCCTGCTGTGTGTGTAACTGTGTTTCCCCACTTGCGATTCCCAGCAGCCAGTATCCAAAGGCTATTGCTGCCTCCCATGGGAGCGAGTTCCGCAGTTTAGCTTTGTGGTGTGTACTTGCTTTTATCCGTCCTGAATATTCCCAACATTTCAGCTTCATTGAATATCCCTGAGTATTTCTATGAAGGCCACAGAGGGGTTTGAAGTGTAAGAAAATAGCACAACATATTAAGAAACATGTTGAAAGTGATGAAGTTAGATAAAACAGAACCTTAAAACAAATTGTATGTGTTTTGGGTTATAAACATTGATGTTGGGAGAGCAGGAAGTCACTAGTTTTGTTGATTTGCAATACAGTGGCACCTCGGGTTAAGAACTTAATTCGTTCTGGAGGTCCGTTCTTAACCTGAAACTGTTCTTAACCTGAAGACCACTTTAGCTAATGGGGCCTCCTGCTGCCACTGTGCCGCCACCGCGCGATTTCTGTTCATCCTGAAGCAAAGTTCTTAACCCGAGGTACTATTTCTGGGTTAGCAGAGTCTGTAACCTGAAGCATCTATAACCCGAGGTGCCACTGTACAGTCATATCTTGGTTTTCGAACACAATGCGTTCCAGAAAGTCTATTCGACTTCTGAAACATTCAGAAACCAAGGCGCGGCTCCCAATTGTGCAGGCACTGCGGAAACAATAGCAGAATCCGCATCGGACGTTCGGCTTCCAAAAGAACGTTCAGAAACCAGAACACTCACTTCCGGGTTTCAATCTTTCGGGAGCTGAAAGGTACAAGTACCGAGGCATTCAACAACCAAAGTGCGACTGTATAATGGTTGAGTAAAGAAAGTAACTTTCTATACGGAAGAAAAAATAAAACAATACTATAAAAAGGGATATCCCTGAGTTCTATTATTATGAGTAGGGGAGGAAACATTTCACTAACCACTTTCTTCACTGAGAATAATTTACTCTGCATCCCCTGGGAAAGAAAACTCACTTTGGTCTTCGGAAATCATGTGACATTTGGGCATCTTGTCCACTGGGATTTTGTTTCTTTGTGAGAAATGACGACCAACTCTGTCCCTGACGAATGAAGGTTTTGAAATAGGAATACACAGTAAGGGTTATGAAATGAGCTTCTTTCTGCTACTCCCCTTATTATTCATTCAGTCGCAGAGATCATCTGGAGGAATGCCTGTCAGTTGCCCCTGTGCTACAGAAGAGGCCAAGAGATACCCTTGCCATTAACTTCCATGTGTCTCTCAAATACCGTTTTTCTCCAGATGGGCCTATTCAGTTTGAGATTAGACAGTTTAAGATTAGGCAGCCACTGTAATGTTTATTTCATGTTGGTTTTATTATATGTTATGTTTTATGGTCCTGTACCTCGCCTTGAGGGACGCAGGTGGCGCTGTGGGTAAAAGCCTCAGCGCCTAGGGCTTGCCGATCGAAAGGTCGGCGGTTCGAATCCCCGCGGCGGGGTGCGCTCCTGTCGTTCGGTCCCAGCGCCTGCCAACCTAGCAGTTCGAAAGCACCCCCGGGTGCAAGGAGATAAATAGGGACCGCTTACTGGCGGGAAGGTAAACGGCGTTTCCGTGTGCTGCGCTGGCTCGCCAGATGCAGCTTTGTCATGCTGGCCACGTGACCCGGAAGTGTCTCCGGACAGCGCTGGCCCCCGGCCTCTTGAGTGAGATGGGCGCACAACCCTAGAGTCTGTCAAGACTGGCCCGTACGGGCAGGGGTACCTTTACCTTTACCTTACCTTGCCTTGATAGTTCACCTAAGATGGTATTATATAAATCCTTCAATAAAATAAATTATTGGTCTCTTTGAAAAAATCCAAATACAGTGATACCTCAAGTTAAGTACTTAATTCGTTCCAGAGGTCCGTTCTTAACCTGAAACTGTTCTTAACCTGAAGCACCACTTTAAATAATGGGGCTTCCTGCTTCCGCTGCGCCGCCGGGGCACGATTTCTGTTCTCATCCTGAAGCAAAGTTCTTAACCCGAGGTACTATTTCTGGGTTAGCGGAGTCTGTAACCTGAAGCGCATGTAACCTGAAATGTACATAACCCGAGGTACCACTGTACTACAATAGGGTAGTGCTTTTACAAGGACTACCCCGTAAGGTGGTGCCGGGATGTTATCTCCAAACTTTAAAAAAGAAAAACTGATTTGAATGTGTCCAACCAAGTTGACCTGACCTGCTTTTATTTGGAATGCAAGCCAAACCGTTCTTGTCATTTGCAGAAATTTGATTAAGGCTCTCTTGAAATCTCATGGAGCTAGGGGAATGACACTGTGACTTAAGCAAAAGGGATCCTTTTATTCCCCTCCATATCTACCTTCAACTTGTAAGGGTAACAGCTGCCAGAACTGCAGACATTCAGAAACTTCAGAATCTGGTTGAATGTTTTGTGTTTGGGGTGGTGTTGGGTCCCATTTGAACACATACTGACAAGATGTTCATTTCCTTGTATCATTAATTTCCCCCTGCAAGAAGTGGGGAATCTTTGCTTCACTATCTGTGTACAGTGGTACCTTGGTTCTCGAACTTAATCAGTTCCGGGAGTCCATTTGACTCCCGAAACTGTTTTAAAACCAAGGCGTGGCTTCCAATTTGGCTGCAAGAGCCGCGTCGGACGTTCGGCTTCCAAAAATCGTTCACAAACGGGAACACTTCTGGGTTTGCAGCATTCAGGAGCTGATTTGTTCGGGAGCCAAGCTGTTCAAGTACCAAAGTACCACTGTACTTAGATAGGTGAAACTGATACTTTTCAGCCACTACAGAAAGTTCTATCAGCTCAAGGGTCTTTGCTTTAAATACCTGATCATTGCCACTGCTGTCTCCCAAAGAACCCTGGTGCCACCTGTGCTTTTGGGAGAAAGGAAGAATAATTATTATTTTTGCAAACTTCTCCCAATCTTTGCAGAAGAGGCAGGAAAAACACATAAAGCCTCTTTCGCAGAGAGTGGAGATTTTCATGCATAAAATAAAATAAAGTAGGATTTGGCACAGTGTTTGTAGTGATGGGCGTAATATGAGCAGTGACCCCCTGCTGAGAAAGCACATTTGCCCTGCTTTGTCTAGATTCACAGATGTCAGAGGAGAAACAAAAGCCCCAAACTGTATGGATGTTTTGGATACACTCAAATCCCTTTCCTAGCCTCCTTCCCTATGAAACAGCAGCTGCAACAGCTGAGCTGGCCAACAAACCATTTATTCACCTGATTATCAGCTCATCTTCCTCCTGTTTCTTTCTACCCCTCACCCACAATGTTTTCTAGAAGAATAGAGGAGAAAGCCTCTTCTAATTCTGTGCAGTAGACACCCTGGCTGATTAATTTTCAGTTAGTAAATGCAATTCAGATTTGTCTGACTCACCCATCCTTCTGCACTTTAGCCCCATCTCGGGTTCCCTTGCCACAACCAAACAGAAATACAGTGATTGCCAACATCCCATAACCCACATTTCCCCTTCAGCATCTGGGTTGCTTGAACTTTCTGTGCTATCACATCAGCTTGGCTAATGGCTGGTGGAGGGTCTCTGGCTGCTAGCTGGCAAGTAGTCCATTATCCGCCTCCATCACCTGAGGTTCTTATTATATTTAATGGTCCATAAAAGAACTGTGTTAATCTTTATGCAACATTCACTTCCTGAGAGATGCCCTGGCAACTTGGGGGAAGATATAAGGAGCCATAAAACTTAATGGCATGCAATTTTGGATTTGTGTCAGAATCCGTTGTATGCAAAGCAGTTGGCTTCCACATTTGCATAGTACTTTGAATGCATGCTGACAGTGTGGACTTTTAGCTGGTCGGTGTCAAATGTGATATTTCAAGGATATACACAATTCCTGCTCTGTGATGACGGCCACTTTTATCAATAAATATTGAGCAATCACCCGCAAGCTACCTGCAGTTAGTTAAAGCACAATGTGATAGGCGCTTAAGCTGAAATGCAATTTTCTATTATGTTTCTTCTGCCCAAATGCAGACTAAGTAACTTTTTTAAAAAAGAAAAGAGTAAAAATGAAGCAGAATGAGAATTGGTAAAAGGAAAGACAGTTAGCACACACAGACACACACCTTGCAAAATTTTCACAGGAAATAGTGCTACCCCTCCAGAGAATTCAGGATGGGGGCCCCAGGTCTCTCCTCCCTGCTTCCCTCCCCCTCCCCTGCAATTATAACAACCCTGTGAGGTTCTATCTGCTGAAAGATGGTTATTGACGCATGCTTATATATACCATAAGAACAGGGAATTGTTGGTGTTCTAGATGTTTCTCCCCCCCTGGATCCCATCACTTCTGACCATTGGAGGTGCTGGCAAGGGATGATGGGAGTTCGACAACATCTGGGGTGGGGCACAGGCCCCATCTCTGCCGAATATTAGGGGTCTGCCTTGTGTAATGTGCAAAATTCATGTGTGTTTAAACATGTAAACCAGTCCTGTTATAGATTCACTTTTATAAATTGTAACTGAATTGCGCCCCCCCCCCCAAAAAAAATAATAATGTGGAGGTTTAGAAGTTTTCCAGTTTCTAGTCCTAGTGGTTTGGTTTTTCTGTCTCTCCCCATAATCCATGGTTTATTTTTAAAAAATCTCCCATCCTCAGTTTCCAGCGCACACGTTACTTTTACAGGAATTGTAGTTATGAAGCCTCAGAAGGCTGTGTTAAATTGGAAACAGCAAAGGCTTTTGATACTGCACTCGAGCAAGTCTGTTTGTTAAATGTGCAGCTAGGAGTACCCAGGAGTCTCCAAGGAATATGGAAGGGGGCCTAAATGATTTAGATTTATTAAAAGGGAAAGGCATGTAGAATTGAACGCCTTGGTAAACTCTGCATTAAATTCTCTGGCACCCACAGTGTATTCTGCTTTGTTGACTGGATCCAAACCTTTTAAAAAAAATAATAATAACTGATTCTCCCCCATCCCCTTTCTTTTCTTTTAGGAAATGGCCAACTCTGTTTACTTGGTTATGGAGGTGAGTAATTCTGAACTCTTATCAAAGGTGAAGGTTATTCTTAGGTCTCATCTGCACTAGACACCTAAAGCATCAGCATTCCACTTTAAACTATAACGGCTTCGTCCAAGGAATCCTGGGTGCTGAGAGTTGCCAAGTGAATCATGTTCTGCTCAGAGAGTCCTCTGGGAAATGGGATTGAGTGTAAAACCATTCTGGGAATTTTAGCTCTGTGAGGGGAATGCAGGTGGCACTGTGGTCTAACCACTGAGCCTCTTGGGCTTGCTGATCAGAAGATCGGCGGATTGAATCCCCGCAACGGGGTGAACTCCTGTTGCTCGGTCCCAGCTCCTGCCAACCTAGCAGTTTGAAAGCACGCCAGTGCAAGTAGGTAAATAGGTACTGCTCCGGCGGGAAGGTAAATGGCGTTTCCGTGCGCTGCTCTGGTTTCGGTGTTCTGTTGCGCCAGAAGCAGCTTAGACATGCTGGCCACATGACCCGGAAAAACTGCGGACAAACGCCGGCTCTCTTGGCCTGTAAAGCGAGATGAGCGCCTCAACCCCAGAGTCATCTGCGACTGGACTTAACTGTCAGGGGTCCTTTACCTTTACTTTAACAACTCACAGCACCCTCAACAAACTATGGTTCCCAGGATTCTTTGGGGGAAGCCATGACTGTTTACAACAAGATGTCAGAAGCAACTGATGGAGGGCATTCCAGAGTGCAAGAGCAAAGGAGGGAAATATTATTATCTTTTGGTCACCAGCGTGATACTGTAGGGTATGGTTCTGTAAGTAAAAATTCTCCAAGTGATCTCTGCCATCTCAGATGTCCATACAGTGTCCTGAGTTGTCCAGACGTCTTGGGAGTACAATAATACATGGAGGGTCACAGTTTCCCATGACTGCATGTAAATAATTAGTCAATGACATCTATTTTAAGTGTAAGAGTAAAATAGGCCTCTGGTTTTAATTCAGAAAAAAGGATGCACTCACATTAAAAAATCATAATGTTGCCTGCAAGGCTATTGTATTAAAAACCGCTATTTGGGAAGGGAGAACAGGAAGCCAACCTATTGCCTGGGTTACTATCTTGGTGCCAGCATAGACCTTCTAAAATGAAATGCTTGGCTGTTGTTGGAAGGCTTCTGCTGTTTTGGTCTCAAGGGCCACTAAATTAGCCATGGACATCCTCTTGAAAGCAACATTGGAGAAGGAACAGGATTGGCTCATATTAGCTGGACTATGTCAATGCGGCAGAACTTGGGATAATATATTTGCAGTAGAAGGGGGCTTTTGACTCGAAGGTAGGGAGAGAGGGATTGTGGTGGTGCCTGCTAATCCCCTAATCTCTGTGAATGTGTAAGCATGCAGGCTTTCTGTTCAGACCCCAGAAGTTGAGGGTGGGCTGGGGGAAGGGATCCAGTGGAAACAGTGATCCACACTCACTTGTGTCCAGAAAGCCCTAACCTGAGATCCCAAACTCCCTCTATCTCTGACCATTGCTTATGCTGGCTAGAGCTGGTGGGATTTGGAGCCCAACAAGATCTGGAGGGCACTGGCTGATTACCCCTGCCCGAATGTCTCCCGCATTTCAAGAATCAATACTTGTAAGATGAATAAATGAAGGAAACAAATCTACACTGCACTTACCAGATCCTAAGCTCTGGCATTTTGCAATTGGAAAAGGCCAGTCTCCTTCGTTTATGAAGTGGCCCGAGTTCTGTGAATTGCTGCTGGAGGCAGGAAACAACTAGAGGATAGTTTCTGTGCTTTATTGTAGAGCCTTGGTGAGACAGTATTTTTAACTAAACTCTTGCTTACAGACTTCTCTTTATCTCCCTTTCCTGATCTAGTACTGCAATGGTGGAGACCTGGCAGATTACTTGCACAGTAAGTATCATCCCTGATGTCTCTTCTCTTTTTGGCAGAACCTAAATAGCATGTTGAAATGTTTGCCGCTCCAATATGGTGCCTGAAATATGTAAGTGGCTCACTGGTGTTGTTTTTTTAATCTGCAAAACTTGTGCTTAGGGTTTTTGTGCTGTTGTCCCTGTTTTGGGGGAGTTCTGATCAGCTTTCAGCTCTTCTAGGCGTTTAGGGAATTTGGAAGTGTTGCTGTGATGTGCCAAGGTTGGCTTGGACCTTGCCCTGCCCCCTCACGAGGGCGTGGCAAGATTAGTTCCTCCTACCACTTTGCCTGGTATATGGAGAAGTTGCATGCAACCGTGCTGACTCGAGTGGTAGGCTCAATGATAGCAACAACTTGGAAGCTGTTGAACGCTCCTTCATTGAGTGTTTTAAAACAGAGGTTGGGTGGCCATCTGTCAGGGATTATTTACCTGTGATTCCTGCATTGCAGGGGGCTAGATGAGCCTTGCAATTCTATGACTCCATGATCCCATCCACATGCCAGAAGTACTTTTCTATGGCTTTCATGTGGAGGCATGTAATGTTATGAAGTATTCAGAGGCCTAATTCTCCCTGAAGGGGGAGACCCAGTGTTTGCCCAACTTTCTCCATTGATGGACCATGCTTTGGCAACGTCACTGGACTGTGACTTAGGACTGACCCCAGATACCCTGGAGATTCTGCAGAAGCAGGGAACTGACCGTGCAGATCTTGATTTTGGACCTTGCTCGTTGTATTGGACCTGGACTGGTATTTGACCATTTGCACTTTCTGACCACTCTTGGGACTGTGTGTACTATTAGGACTTACCTTCGGGTGCGCTGGGGTTCAGGACAATTAGAATCCCAGCCTGTCACTAACAATGACCTCAAGGGAGGAGGTGGTCCTGCTTGGACATCTTTAACCTGATGACAACCCACCACAAATCAAAACCTAGTAGTGGCCCCACACCCTCTCACCCAAACACAAAACTGTATGCAATGGTGAATGTGTTTAGGAGGAGTGGATGGGTGACTTGGTGGGGGGACATAGGAAGCTGACATCTAAGGAGTTGTTGTTGGTCCGTCTAGCTCCAGGTTGTCTCCACGGACTGGTGGCCACTTTCCAAGATTTCAGACAGTTCTCTTGCAAGTTTATCTGAAGTTGTCAGAGATTGAAACTTCTGCATGCAAGGCAGATGTTCTGCCTCTGAGCTATGGCTTTTGCTTACAAAGGAGGTCCACTAAAGTCTGACATGGACCCTGAAAAGTGCAGCATTTGTTGTCTTCTATTGTGGAAAGCAAAGTCTGGAGTAACACTACTTTATGCTAATGACTAGTTCTGCAGCCTGTCATCTCTGCTCCTTTGGACATTACTTCCTCATTGATAATCTCCAAGCCCTGAGCCCTCATTTACCGGCTGTATATAATCTAGGTCAGTAATGACTGGTTTTGTTTGGACTACTTTTCAACAGTTGGTTTTCTGTTTACAAGACCATTGCAATTAAGTCCCGCCCCCCTCCTTTTGCTGATTTGGTTGTTTGTTTTTAAATACTGCAAATGATTTGCCTGAAGCAAGGTTTAGCAATCCAGGCTCATTGAATGAAAGAAATTAGGAAATGTTTGTCTGCTCAACAACCACATCTTGCCCTTTAATCTCATGTTTTTAACCTTGGAAAACCCCAAAACAAAAACCAGTTTTAATACCTCTTCCCCTACCCAATTTGGGGGGAAGGAGATGGGACTCTAGGGGTTTTTTCCCTCCTTGCAACAACTATTCCTCTTTTATTTTTATTTTTTTAAAAACCTCTAGTATTAGCTAAAAGTCGCAGTAAGTTACATGAACCCTTGCTGTTTGACCCTAAAACAAGCCTGCAAAGTGATGTATAATAACATTGAACAAATACAGAATTAATATCCAGTAAAAGGACATTTTGAGGGACATGGGTGGCACTGTGGGTTAAGCCACAGAGCCTAGGGCTTGCCGATCAGAAGGTCGGCGGTTCGAATCCCCGTGATGGAGTGAGCTCCCTTTGCTCGGTCCCTGCTCCTGCCAACCTAGCAGTTCAAAAGCGTGCAGCACAAGTAGATAAATAGATACCGCTCCAGTGGAAAGGTAAATGGTGTTTCCGTGTGCTGCTCTGGTTCGCCAGAAGCGGCTTCGTCATGCTGGCCACATGACCCGGACTGTACACCCGCTCCCTTGGCCAATAAAGTGAGATGAGCACCACAACGCCAGAGTCGTCTGCGACTGGACCTAACGGTCAGGGGTCCCTTTACCTTTACCTTTACCTTTACCTTTACCTTTAAAAGAACATTTAAGAAGAGCTGTGCTGGATCATGTCAAAGGCCCATCTAGTCCAGCATCCTGTTCTCACAGTGGTCAACAAGATCCCTTTGGGAAACCTGCAGGCCAGACCTTGGGGGCAATAGCACTCTACCTGCTTGTGATTCCCAGGAACTAGCAAAACAAAGCCCACATCATTGAGTTCTCCCACACCATCCAGGAGGCCATGTCCACATCTGCTTCCTCTGCAGCAAAGCTTCATGGTATGGGCAGTACAATGATATAACCCAGGGGTAGTCAACCTTTTTATACCTACTGCCCACTAATGCATCTTTCTTGATAGTAAGATTTCCTTACCACCCACCAGTGCTCGATGGAAGGAGGATTCAGCTTGTTCCATAGAGCCCCCTACCGCCCCACCTAGAATCCTGAAACACCCACTAGTGGGTGGTAGGGACCAGGTTGGCAACCCCTGATATAACCTTTACTCAGAGGGCTGGTGGCCTCTTCCTTGTTGGAAGTCTTCAAGAGGAGTGCAGGCAGCCAAATGTCGGGGCTACTCTGCATTTCCTGTGCAGCAACTTAGGAAGCTACCTTCTACCGGTCAGCCTGAGACCTTCTGCATGCAAAGCAGGTGTTCTGCTGCAGAGATACAGCACTTCCCAACCCCAGCTGCATGGAGAACCTACATGCGTAGGAAGCAGCCTTGTACCAAGTCAGACCACGGGCTCGTCTAACTCAGTATGGTCCCCATGATGACAGGTTTCCAGTCCTACCTGGAGATGCTAGGGAGAGAACCGGGGACCTTCTGCTTTCAAAGCAATTGTCCCACCACTGAGCCGCAGCCCTTTCTCCTCCATTTTGTGGGGAGTTGCACTAGCTCGTCTGCAAGGCTCCCTCCAACTCTGATACCAGGGAGATAGTTCCTATAAAACGCCTCCAAAAACCAGCTGTCCCAGTTACCCCAGACTGAGAAATGGGCCTATCTCCTGCTGTTCTCCTTCATCCCAGTAAGTCTTCCTTTAGCAGTAAAAGTTAAAAAACACAAGCTAACACCAGATCTACAAATGTTTGTGATGTCTTCCAAATGGAGACAGGTTTCTATATTTATGGATTTTAAAGTAGCCACTCTTCTGAATGCATACTGAATTTAGAATGCGTTTCCCTTCACTTCTTCCTCCTGCCGCTAAACACTCTTCCTTTTTAAAAGCCTTTAGTCTCACGTGCTAACTTAAAAGATTAAAGCTGTCTCTCCATGTTTAATCATCTCTCAGAATGTTTTTTTCGGCCATGTTTAAACAAAACAATGTTAATCAAGGCTGTCATCCTCCTTTTTGTCAATTTGGTGCTAAGTTGGTTCATGAGCAGGGGGGAAAAAAGATGAATTCTCCTATCCCAGCCCCACTGATCATGGCCGCTTAAACCTCTTTCATGTTGAGCTGCTGGAACGGAAAGATTAAAAAAACTGAATTCTTATTTCCCCTCCGGAGCTAGCGTTGTAAATGTTTTATGAATGATGAGTTCAGATCATTTATTTGGCTTTTAGCAGCCAGAATGCGGAGGAGTCTTGACAGCAGAACTGTGCATACCACGTGGCTTTTTAAAGTATAGATAAAATTATTACTTTTAAGATAGGGCCATTATGCTCCAAAATGTCTCAGCTGTGGTAAAAAACAACAACAACAAATGGAACAACAACTGTCAGACAGGGCCTTCTATATGGATCTGTACAAACCATAAGAATATTAGTCTCAGATGCCTTGCAATCTGGCATGTCCCCACTGCAAATACAGGGTCTCTCTGGTGGTGGTGCCCAAACTTTGGAATGCTTTCCCTATGGGCATCAGTCAGGCAAGTTTCCAAAGCTCAGGTTAAGTAGAGGAAGCCTCTTTAGCTAGGGACTGAATTGTGTCTACGATTTCAAATATCAGAATGGGATTACACGAGTCCCAGGCAAGATGTATAGAGGTCCTGCAAAGTGAATTAACCATTGACAGCCTTCTTCTCCACAAATTTGCCTATTCCTCTTTTAAAGTGAGTAGATCTGGTTGGTTGGGCGCCTACTACATTGAGTCCATGCCAGGGGTCAGCAAACTTTTTCAGCAGGGGGCTGGTCCACTGTCCTCAGACCTTGTGGGAGGCCGGACTATATATATATATATTTAAAAAATGAACGAATTCCTATGGCCCACAAATAACCCAGAGATGCATTTTAAATAAAAGCACACATTCTACTCATGTAAAAACATCAGGCAGACCCCACAAATAACCCAGAGATGCATTTTAAATAAAAGCACACATTCTACTCATGTAAAAACACCAGGCGGACACCACAAATAACCCAGAGATACATTTTAAATAAAAGCACACATTCTACTCATGTAAAAACATCAGGCAGACCCCACAAATAACCCAGAGATGCATTTTAAATAAAAGCACACATTCTACTCATGTAAAAACATCAGGCAGACCCCACAAATAACCCAGAGATGCATTTTAAATAAAAGCACACATTCTACTCATGTAAAAACATGCTGATTCCTGGACTGTCCGCAGGCCGGATTTAGAAGGCGATTGGGCCACATCCAGCCCCCAGGCTTTAGTTTGCTTACCCATGGTCTATGCTTTTACCACGAGCATGCATGCATCTAAACTCCTATATGTGAACACTAAGGGACGCGGGTGGCGCTGTGGGTAAAACCTCAGCGCCTAGGACT